TTAATTTTTTGAGACCGTGAGACGCAATCTAAATATAAATTTAAAATGCAAAGTAAAAGGAAAATTATGAAAAAAAAAATAATTAATTACTATTTTCATCATTTTATTTACCTAAAAAAATAAATAAAAAAGTTACCGTTTTTTTTTTAAATAATTGAAATATTCTAATACAATATTACACTGTAAATATTCTAATGTGATTTTTAGAATGTTAGAATATTCTATTATTGTATTAGATTTGTCAGATATGTAAAATATTCTAATATTTTACTAGAATATTTCATAGATATTTAAAAAAAATGGTAACTTTTTTTATTTATTATTTTTTTTGGAAAATACAAATGGTGAAAATAATATTAAAAAAAATTTCAATTATTTTTCATTTTAAAAATGTTTTTTTATCTACAAAATGAGTGACTAGGATTGCATCTCACGGTTGCACAAAATTAGACCGTCTCACATAAACCTAACCATATGATAAGAAACGAATTCTTATTGCATCAAAAAACTGACAAGTGATAAGAACACACATTCGATCTAGTTTAATCGAGTGTGATCTAAAAATCGACATGGAGAAGATGATGGTGGTGTTTATCCGAAATCAAATTCGATGGTTAATATATGTTCTGATTAATGTTTCGATGGTTAATGAAGTTTGTTGTATGGTTTCGTTTGTGAAGGTTGTTGTATGGTTTCTTTTATGAAGGTTGTTGTATGGTTTTTTACTCTTAATCGGGGTATCTTCTCAAATTCCCAGATAGCATCAACGAATCGTTTCCTGCTTACAAAGTTAATTGGAGTTGATTGTCTTCATTTTCTAATAATGTTCAATTCGAATTAATTGGGTTATAGATACTTTCTAAATAGATTAAAGCAAAAAAGAACACAAATTCTACAGGATTATGGAGCAGCTCTCTGTTTCTTTCCTTCTTCCTTGATTAATCAAACAACCAAATTCGTTAAACCTGTTAGGAAATTTTGTATTTGAAATCTGGCTTTTTCAGTTTGGGCTATATGATTCCCTATTCAAGATTTCATTTGGGCAAAAAAATTTAAGGCTTGGTGATGCAAACAAGGTGTTTCTTTTTCTGCTTGTTAAGTGTTTGATCAAATGCCTAAATGAGTTTTTCAAGGCCTAAGAATAGGCAAGAAAGTAGGTCTGGCAATAGGAAATCTTTGCAACATCGTAATATCTTGAGTGCTTTAGCTACTTGGAGAACTGAAGAAGGTATCACAAAGCTAGTTAAAAACTTAGTTGACAATGCAAGACAGGAGCAACAAGACAAAAAAGAAGAGTACATTCAGGAGAAAAGAACATCGGGCATCACCAATGTCAGACAATGTCTTCGTAATGTTGTCGATGGACATTTTACAACAGTAGTGAAAGTTTTATGTTCTTCGGGGGTTGCTCCATTTGGAGGTGATACTACGAAGGAATTGGAGGATAAGCATCCATACAAGCCACCGCCTTCCATGCCCAACACCATATTTTCAGAACCTCCCCTGGTAGTGGATGTTGACAATGTCCTTGGGGGAATTAAATCCTTCCCTAAAGGTACCTCGTGTGGGAGGGACACGTTGAGAGCTCAACACATTTTAGATGCCCTTTGTGGAGAAGGTTCGGCTATAGCCAAAGACCTCCTACGTGCTATTACTGTTAGATAAAGTGTCTAAGTCCATAACTATTTCTGGTATGTACTTGACTTGGTTTGGCATGGTCCATTTGGGTTGCATGGCATCATGCACTTGGATAGACTAAAATGAGAGAATTAACACTTAAGGTTATAATTTCTAATATATTAATAGTATTATTTAATTAGTATTAATCAAGAATTAATTTGGAATTAATTAAGTGATCACAAGGAGACTAATTAAATATATGGGTTGATTGTGTAAATCATCCATACTTGTATAGTGGGCTAATGATCCATGGTTTATCAAGTTGAGCTAAAACCCATAGGATACTCCATGGATGCTCCATGGTGGTTTTGAAACCATGGATCCAAGAAATGAAAAGCCATGACAATTAGGGTTCGCATGGTGTAACCCTAATTGTACCACACTATATAAGCATCATATTCTTAACCAAAATCGGCCACTAAGTAAGACTAAGTGAGGGCTAACCGATTTTCTAAGTGTTTGCATTTCTCTCTAAGTTATTCCAAGTGCCTTGGTGTTGTGTGAGATATTTGAGGCATCACACTTGAGGTGCTAGGCTCACAAGGTTCTCAAGGAATCCAAGCAACTAAAAGGTATGTTTTTCTTACTAGCTTTTATGTTTAAAGTTCCCCATGCATGCTAGATAGGTTATGAACCTAGGAAAAACAAATTTGCATGTATCATAGTAAAACATAGATCCAAGGTTTCTAGGGTTGGATGTACACCTTAAGAGTGTTAGAATGCTTAAAACCCTGCAGTGGTATCAGAGCCTAGCTTTGTTTTCTTGCTATTTGATGCAAACTTGCTGAAAAACACGAAAAATTGATGTCTGGACAGTGGACTTGCCGAGTCCATGGGGGGACTCGATGAGTCCAAGAACAAATTCATCCTACTCGTCAAGTAGGTTCTTGAACTCGACGAGTAGGATCCTCTGATTGCATTTTTTCGACTTTTGCTGCTGGAAATGGACTAGAAACATTACCCTAAATTGTTTTGGTGTTTTAAAACTGGTTTTAGATGGTGTAATGGTTGTGCTAATTGATGTGTGTGAACTCAACTAGTTTTAAACCTACTTTTAATTGTAAAATTAACACACAAAGGCAGTGGACCTATCAATTGTGGTGTAGCTAAATAAGTAGGGTATCGAACTCAGGGAACGGAAAATTAAAACTAATAACTAATATTATCTAAAAGCAAGTAATGGAAATAGGATTTTCTCTAGTTTTACAAGACTAGAAACTTAATTAGACTAGCTAACATGCAATTTAACTGACTAGCAGCTAAAGCAAATAATTACCACTAAATTCAATAGTTAAGAGGAATTTTGTTTAGGTTCGACTCATTTGTTCCCATGGACGATTTTATAGTAAATGTATCGGATTAATTCTTCATTGGTTACCGATTAAGGTGATTAGATTCACGTTCGCTATTACTAATCCTTAGAAAACATATTAATTCAAGCAATGGCAGTTGTCTAAATTAATGAATTTCCTAGTTATTGATTCGGTTTAAGTAAGACTTGAAGTGGTTAATTAAATTGGTCATTCAATTAACCTCTTGCTGATGGTTCGTCATACAAGCTCACACATTAACTCACTACTAGAAAAACAGCCTTTTACGACGCTCATTGCACGTCATAAAAGGCTCAGACGACGCGCAAATGCGCGTCAAGGAAGACCCTGTCATAAAGAGAGACGACGCGCATTTACGACACGCAATGCGTATCAAGGAAAGCCCTGTCATAAAGAAAGACGACACGCATTCGCGTGTCGTGACCTTATGACGCGCGTATTAATGACACGCAATGCGTATCAAGAAAGCCCCTGTCAAGAAAGGCCATGTCATAAATGAAGATGACACACATTTTTGCGTATCGTAAATTTAAATGTTTAAAAAAAATATTTATATGTTTATTAGTTTTTAAATTAAATTTTCATTTAATGTCTCATAATAAAAATAAAATACCATATACAAAAAATACAATACATTGCATAAAATTTAATGTCATACAATTCTATTTCTTACAATATATAAATTAAATTTACATTGTTATTAAGAGGTTTTCCCTAACAATATAACCTAATACTACATTGCTATAAAGGGGCACCTTCTTCTTTCAGTAACTTGTCATTAAGGTGTCTGAAGAAGCTCTAAAAGCCTTCATCATGTCTCTTAGCTTCAATATCAATCCCAACTCTTTATCAAGAACAACACGAAAATCTTACACAATAATCATGTCAGTTGTACAATATCAATATCAACTAATTAATAATACACATGGTATGTATGAGAGTGGAATCAACCATATTCAAATCAATATCAACTAATCAATAATCATGTCACCTGTACAATATCAACTAATCAATAATCAATATCAACTACACCACAACACAACTAACACAAAGATATTAGCCACTTTTTTTGCATCAGAAAACAAAATGAACTTAACAAACCTGCAAATCAAGAGAAGTCATGAATGACCCTGTATAAACTCTAAAAAAAGAAAGCAAGTAAAGTTAACAGATTAGATAAAGTACTAGATAGAAAAATACAAGAGTGAATTATTATACATAAGAATAGAACAAAGTAGTATGTAACAGTTACTTGTTGAAACTAACTTATTATATACTGTTTGTAGATTTTTTGAAAATTAAGGCACAAGTTTCAGCCATAGCAGAGGAGATTGGTAGCATGTTTGTAGATTGGTATATTTTCAACAAGTAAAGGCTCCTTCCTCATAGGATATGGGAGTAAAGTTTTGATGACTTGTAACATTTCATATAGCAATATCAAGTAAATCAGCTGGCAGATATTAAAAGTTAAAAGTATACAAACTAATCGAATATTCATTTACCATTATTCAAATATATATATATATATATATATATATATATATATATATATATATATATATGGATGAAAGTCATGTCCTCAATGACTACAACAATGTGCTTCCTGAAAATTCAAAAAAATATGAAATTTAAATTTTCAAAATTATATTTCTTTATAAAAACTAAGAAAAAAAAAGAGTGAGTGTACATCAATTGAGATCAAGGAAAGACGTCCAGCATGGTGGCATTTTTCAAGTTTTGACACAAATTTTTGCTTTTGGAGACTTTTTCTGGTGTAACATACAATACTTTAAGATCCCCTTCACCCTTTTCAAGGGCTTTGTATATAAACTTCACTAGTTGGTGAGGTAAGCATAGATGCTAGGATCCTTAATGCAGTTAACCCCATGACCTAAAGCAAAAAAAAAAAATCTTAATTAGAGTTTATAATCAGGTAATCAATAGTAAAGGATATAGAATATTAACAAAAACAAAAATAAGCACCTAATCCTAAATAAGAGAAAGTAAAGGACTAACAACAAGAGCAATTCCATGATGTAAACCAGATGGAAGTTGATAGCATAGACTTTTGCCTCCACCAGCAACCATGATCACAAGAACATCTCTCCCACTCATGATTGCATTAATGATCTGATACATGAGTATCAACCTCACGCTGGTTAGCAAAATAAGTGGGAATGCCAAAAATATTGAATTTGATATCATCAACTCTATGATCCCTGAGAACTTCAATCTTGCCCAACTAAAAATCACCAACACCCAATACATGAACCTAATGAAAAATAGGTTAGCCACTTAATCAAATTTATCAAGCCACAAAATGACAAAAAAAAGCTAAAAAATATTTAAAAGAACTGTTTCTTTCTGAAAACTTAATCAAATTTATCATGCTTTAAGTCAAGCATATTAAGAGCCGTTTCTTTCTGAAATATGAACTTTAGCACTTAAATAAAGCATATTAAGAGCTTACACTGGAAACACAAAAGATCTTGAGCTGCTGTCTGTTTTGACTTATCTAAAGATCCCACATCATGCTACTCATATATCTGCATGTGATTAGATATGACCAATTATGTTAGGATCTAGATATCCTAAGTTATGATTCATTTGAATTGATGATCTAAACAATATAGAGAAATTCTAGGAGCATCTTATTAGTGCAGAGGAGGTAGGGGTATTTTGGGCATTTAATATTACTAGTTTGCTATGTTAGATAGTTAGGGGCATTTTGGGCATTTCATAACAAATTTACCCCAACAACCAATACTTTGAGAATAGTATTAAGATTTATAGTTAAATCAAAATATCAGTCTACCTGGAATAATATGAGTCCAATGAGAACTGGTTGAGTATCAAATCCAAAACTAACTGTATTATATTATGTACTTTTTTTTAGAAAAGCATTATTTGACAATGAAGTAGCAATACAATGCCTCAAGGTGAACGGGGAAGTCAAATGAGCTCCAAAAAGAACTGCAAGATTACTTTTAAAATTAAGAGCTTTCAAAGGTATTAATATATACATAAAAATATAAAATATAATCCATGATTGGCATACCAATCTGTTCACACTAGCCCAACATATCCCTGTTACTTGTATAATTCTAAAAAGTTGCAATGGAGAAGATCAATACACAAATGAAAGTCCCAACAACAGAAAGTTAAAAGGTTAACTTGAATAAAGAACAGTTTACAATGACCAAACATACCTGTGTACAAAAAAAATCTAACTGACTAACTTATGTACATAATGACCATACTGCCCTTATTGTTAAATTACAGAAAATACCCTTTACCCTTATTGTTAAATTACAGAAAATACCCTTTAGGTAAGTTGACAAACGATGTATGGCATTAAAATTTTAAAGTACTTGATCTATTTATTTAAAGAATAAAACGATGTAATTAATTTTTTAATTTTTAATAGGCGTGCTACTCTTTAATCTAATACGATGTACTCTAACCTCTCGTTAACTGTACTCTATGCTATAAATGGAATACAACGTATTTAAGCTGTATTCTATTCCCTCTTAACCGTATTCTAAGCCACTATGTAAATATATATATATATATATATATATATATATATATATATATATATATATATATATATATTAGAAATTTGTATTGTTAAAATTAGAAGAAATAAAGAAATGTCAACACACCTGAATAGCAATGAAGAAGTACATTGTGTGATTCAGTTTCCAGTGACCAGGTTCATGAGCAATCACAGCAACAACTTCTTCCTCATTTTTGCACTGTATAGTATCATTAAATCACATTAACCAAATAAACTAAATAAGAGTAAAAATTGAACTTTATTCAACAGGATTGTGTATAAACAAGAAATGTATAAAAGACGCGTACTTGTTGACAAAGGAATCCAACAACGCCCTCAAATCTTCAATAGTTATCCTTTTTCTCTTAGAAGTAAAGGGGTCAACAGAAGACGATCCATACTGTTGAACATTTGAGGCAAACACCAAGTTGGACATCATACACAAGAAGACAACAATCTGCACCATGAAAAAAAGCAACTCCAAGGCTCTGAACAAATGAGAATCACTAAATACGAAATTACAGATTTGGTCCTCCAACTTGTACTTTAAGGACATTCTTAGTGCCCTTCAGTAAATGAGAATCAGTAACAAATAACCTGTAGAGTGAAGAGCTTATCCTCAAATTCCACTTCTTTTGTCAAGAAATCGACTCCTACTGTTGCCTTGTATTGATTGCTAAACTTCTTGTTCACATATCTAAAGTTGAACATTAAGGGCAAACAATAATAATCATCCCCAACAATGGCACATATCACACGAGCTCGATGTATTCTAAAATTTCAACTTGTTGGATTTTTAGAGACATGAAAGATGTCATTGTGGATCCTATTTGATTGTTACACCTGAAGACTAAAGGGAGAATAGAGGTGAATGGTAAAAACGAATAAACCCTAACAAATCTAAGTTATACAGGATACTGATCCATCAACGAGGTCTTGCCTACCCTGCAATCGATTTGCGAGACCTGAAGACCACAACGTCTCTGGTCACCGCCACTGGCAACCCACGCCGTCGTACCACCACCAATACCAACACGACAATATCCACGACAACTAAGAGAGAACAACTGATTGCGACTTTTTAGGGTTTGTTGAAAGACCTGTGGTGGTGTAGTGGTGGTTCTGGGCTGTTGCGAAGGCAGTGTGGTGGTGGCTCAGGGCTGGTGTTGTGGTGCGATGTTGTAATAGTGGAGTTTGAAAGCAAACACAAATTGTGATGGAAGCTATTGTTGTTGGTGATGTCCGATTCATCAAAAGAAAATCATTCTTCGATCAATCTTCTATTTTGTGAAAGAAGATATTACTATTTCAAATGTGTTATGTTTGATTAGGGTTTGCACATAGAAGGAAGTAAACGTCGATCGGAGAGGAAGGGGTTTGCAGAGAGAAAGAAGGGTGAGAATGAAGTTGATTTGGCGGGTGTAGAGAGTAGAGAGGAAGAGGAAGCGGGTGTTCAAAATTTTGGGGGATTTAGTTTCCCCCCTTACCTATCAAGGAGTCCCAGAAACGCGCGTTTATTAAAATTATAAAGCGACATTTGTAGAGGACACCCTTTTTATTATAGGAGCCCTCCGTGTTTTTAATATTTTTACATGAGACACTAATTTAAGGGCACTGAGTAATGCGCGACCTAAATCCTTAAAATTTTTGAAGAGATGACACTTTTTTAATGTCGCTTTCTAATGCGTAACATAAATCAAAGAGCATCGTGTTTTGCGCGTCGTAAAAGGGTCTTTTTCTTGTAGTGACTTACATATCTTCTAGTTAACTCTAGTTTCACGTTCGTTATTCCTAGACATACAACTATGTGGTCACATAAATCATATGAAATTAACAACTAAGAGATGTTCATACAACTTAGTTACTGATTTACTAACAGAAGAATAGTTGTTATTAACATATAAGGTTCTTTAACAAGCTTAGCAAAACATAATCACCAATTAAAATTAATCCTAACCAAAAAATTAATCCATGTTCACAAAATCATCTACCTTAAACAGAAGAATAAGGATTTAGTTCATAATTGCAGTAAACACAAACTCAAAAACGAAATTAAAGAGTTTAAACATGATTAAAATTAAAGGATCGCTAAGATTAAACTAAAAGTGCCTTAATTCTCTTCAAGATTGAATGTAGGGTTGATTCCTCAGCTTCTCATGACCTAACCGTACCTTCAATCGTAAATTGGCCTCCTAGGGTTCCAAAGAAGTCCCTCATCTCGATCTCCAAGTCCCTATTTATAATATTCTGGAAACAGAGGCGACTCGTCGAGTCCAGTGACCGACTCGGCGAGTCCGTCACTTAAAACCTGTGTACGGCAATGATTTCTAGAGCGTCATGAATCTTCAACACAACTCGTCGAGTAGATGTCCCTACTCGCCGAGTCCTTCTTGTTTTTGACATTTTTCTTCCTTGTTTCAATTTCCGAACTTCCAATCGCTCCTCCTGCTTCCTTTAGCTTCCGAACATATCTTTTAGACTGAAAATATAATTCCAACATTATTAAGTATCTTTCGTCCATAAAATAAAAATAATTAGCCAAATAATGATAAAAATCTATACTAAATGCATAGCTAAGTATGCACATATCAAAATACCCCACACTTGACTTTTGCTTGCCACCAAGCAAAACTGAATTTTAGCACACTAACATTATATAAGATAATCCTAATCAAACCCAGCCATTATGCCAAGACCGCAACGCATGTATTTGTGTCTAAAATTTTCCTAAGGACCCCCCTCAATTCTAAATACTAACAATCCTCATAAACACTCGCCCACTCTTTTGAACAATGCTCATTTTATGCATCCCTCCGAATCCATTCCCAAAAAACCTCCTAACCTCAAAGTATTTTTGATTGAGCAACCCAAGCATACATAAACTAGAAAATTACAATTCTTGATACCCTTATACAACTCTTTGGAATTATTCACTCATGATAATTTAACTTTAATTTCCTTGAATTCACCAAAACCCTACATGCTTAAGCAGGGGCGCTCAACTTCAACCTTTATTGGTTAAAGATAATAATTTTCCTAGATACATTTATGGTACATGATGTTAAACATATTGCATCCCTCAAACTAAGCAAGTTTATGTTTTTGTCCCTTGATTTAACTAGAATAAAGGAGGCCACAAATGCACTAGAACGTGTATAGGCTCAACTAAACATTTGGGTATTCAAAGAATCATCAAACACAATACTAGCATGATTCCTAGATGCTTTTACCAAAATTTTCTAATTTAGCCCTAGCAATTTTAATGTAAAATTTTCAAAATTTAACTAAATATAACCAACCCCTACCCCACACTTAATTTATGCAATGTCCCCATTGCATATTAAAACAATTAAAGAACATAAAAATAAAGAGAGAATGGGAACAAACTCCCCTGAGATAGTAGTGGCGAGATTGATCTTCTTTATTGAGGCTCCATCTTCAATCATCTTTAGAAATTGGAACAACTCATCCATGCCTTGGGTGTCAAATCTTGTGTGGTTAGCTCCAAATATGCAGGAAAGATTCTCGGAAATCTTCAAGATTTGATCTCAAAGAAAATGCACACAAGTCGTGAACAAAATAGCATAAAATCAGCAGCTATAAAGGTGCAATGATGAACGACTCGTCGAGTCAGCAAGACAACTCGCCGAGTACTAGCGCGAAAAGTCAGAATTCGTGTAATTGTATAAGGACTCGTCGAGTCTGGTAAATGCACTCGGCGAGTCCATCGTTGGGTGACAAAAACAGATTTTGCTTTATATCCAACTCTTGGTATACTTCAAAAAGATATTCTTCTGTTCTTCAGTAATTATTCACTCCTTAACCCCTCTAAAACCGGACTCGATACTTAGACTTAATATTTCGTCCTCGCTTGACTCTCTTCATTTTTCTCTCATTCTTTAGACCCCTTGCATGTATTCCCTAATCCAAACTCTGAAAATAATCAAAAACAAATATGAAATCAAGCAACATAATTCAAATCCTACATAAAAGTTAAACACACCAAGCAAACAAATAGAAATTGTTTTAAAACAACCAAACACATAAAAGGATAAAAATTCAATCTTCATTTTCCGTATCCTCTTTTGCATCTTCCTCTCTAACTCCACTTCCACCAGCTTCACTTCTACGTACATTCATCCTCTCCTCCCAAGTTGATATATAAGGAAATTGACCTCCGTCCACATGTTGGATGTTGAAGTGATTAAACATTTGGACAAAGGACCGGTTGGAAAAATTCACGCCCCTTCCCAAATCATCTTGATATTGTCTTCCTTCTACATTAAACCACTCCAGGGGTATATCATCTTCCACCGGAATGACCGGTGGATCGGGATGTGCTTGCATGCGTCTCGACCTCACTCTTCTTCCTGGTTCCTCGGGTCCAATCACGGAATCATCATGTGGAATAGCATAGTGTCCCCCTCCATAATCCTCAATAATTCTAGCCCTGCGAAAAAAATAGGATTAAAGGGTGGGGTCGGGACCATTGTCATCAAGTTCCATGCTCCCCGTTCCATCAACCCATATGATTTGGCTAGGCGGGTCACCAATATCCCGCCATTTATCTTTGAAGTTTTGCGATCTTTCACCGCCCCGTCAGCTAAGTAAGATGCCATGCAGTAAGGAAGATTACAGAAAATCTTTGGAGTAATAATACTCCACAAGTAGAAAAAATCAAGGTTAAGAACCTTGTCATCATCTTTTCGCATGTTTATTGTATTTGAAATAAGGCGGTGAATCAATCTATGGGTGGGTGATCTAATACTCCCCTGTTGAGCGGATTTGGGGATATACACCTTGTTAGCAATGGTATTCAACCAAGTGGAACCCACAACACCCTCCGGGAACTCCTTGTGACATTGCTCAAGAAAAGTGCCAAAATCTGCCATGGTGACCAATTATTGGTCATAGATACCATATCTGCAAGCTAGTTCCACCATACTGCATTGGCGGAATTCACCACCAAGGCAAAAAGTGACCACTCCCGGGTTATAATAGTCGTTCCCACCGCGGAAGTTGATAGTTGAGAAAAACTCCCAACATAGCTCCTTGAACACTGGTTCTTGAATACGGAATAACCAGCCTTAGCCATCACATGTAATAGATACCCCATTATGCATGTATACTTTGACAAGGTATGGGGCCAACTCCTCATCATAACGTACTCTCCCCAGCCATTCCCAATCAATTGCATTTTGGACACAAATCTCTTTTTTCTTAATTTCAACCAACTTCTTCTTCCATCTTTTCATTGTAGATTCTGACTCAATTCTTGGAAAATTTAACCAAGGATGGTCTACTTGGTTACCCCTAGAACTTTTTCCACCTCTTAGAAACATTTTCTACACAATAACAAACACATACAAACCAGAAAACATGTAAACATTAGAATTAAATTTTTGGGACTGCCTCAGGGGCCGAATCGTCGAGTCCATGAACAGACTCGGCGAGCCGTATGAACTGCTTGAGTCTCAAATCCGATTTTGGCTAAATCACTCAACAAAATTCATAATTTCTTCTAGGGGTTTGTCTTGGAATGCAAAATAAGTATAAATCAACAACCAATTGCATCTATAATATCCTAATTAGACAAAAATTAAAAACCCTATAAGTCTATTCTAGCCAAAACTAGATTTTCAACCAAAATTGGTCCATTATTCTGCAAAATTCGAAACTATGAAGATTAAGAACAAAAGATCATACCTTGT